AGGGGCGGGTTGTATAGGGGCGGGTTGTATAGGGGCGGGTTGTATAGGGGCGCTGCGGCGCTGAGCCGCTCTGAAGAAATCAGTGCATGTTTCACAGCCGCGCTGCTCACTTTAATGCGCCGACCCCAGGTCCCCATATGTCCCCATGTCCCCATACGTCCCCCCACGTCCCCACATGTCCCTGTGTTCTGACGTCCCCATACATCCCCATGTCCCCAAATGTCCCCATATTCTGATGTCTCCATGTGTCTCCGTGCTCCGACGTCCCCATACGTCCCCATGTCCCCATACGTCCCCATGTCCCCATATGTCCCCATGTCCCAATGTCCCCATACGTCCCCCCATCCCCACGTGTCCCCGTGTTCCGACGTCTCCCCGTCCCCACGCAGTGGCGCTCAGCTCAGCGCCGCGATGTGCAGCAGCAGCTGGTGGGCAGCTTCATCCAGGGAGCCCTGCAGCCCACAGAGCCGTGGGGAGCTGTGGGGCACCGAGTGCTGACCCACAGCCCCACATCCCTGCCCCATAGGGTCGGTGTGGGGCACCTCATGGTCCTGACCCCACAGCCCCACAGCTCTTCCCCATGGGGTCAGTGTGGGGCATGGAGCGCTGACCCACAGCCCTACATCCCCTCCCCATAGGGTCGCTGTGGGGCACCCTGCGGCCCCCACCCCACATCCCCTCCCCATAGGGCAGCTGTGGGGCACCTGCGGCCCCCACCCCACATCCCTGCCCCATAGGGTCGCTGTGGGGCACCCTGCGGCCCCCACCCCACATCCCCTCCCCATAGGGTAGCTGTGGGGCACCTGCGGCCCCCACCCCACATCCCTGCCCCATCTGGGCTGGGTTCCCACCTGCGCTGCACTCAGGAGCAGCATCCGATAAACGGCCACGACGTCGCGGTGCTTCTGCTGCTGCAGCTGCGGAGTGGAGACGTGGGGGGGACAGCGTGGGGTGACACTGGGTGACACCACGGGGTGTGGGGTGACAGCATGGGGGGATGCTGGGTGGCTCTGGGTGACACCACGAGGTGATGCTGGGTGACATTGGGTGACACCACGGGGTGACAGCGAGTGACGCGATGAGGTGATGGGTGACACAGGGTGACACTGGGGGGTGACACCAGGTGGCACAGGGTGACTCCACAGCTGCGTACACCACGCTGTGACATTGGGTGGCAGCATGGGGTGACACTGGGTGACACTATGGGTGACGGCAGGTGACACCACACAGTGCCAGCAGGTGACACCATGCGACGATTCTGGGTGACACCACAGGGTGACACCAGGGGGTGACAAAACGTGACGTGGCACCAGATGACACCAAGGGGTGAGGTGACGTTGGGTGACACCAGGTGACACCTGAGGGAGATGTGATACGATGCAGGGTGACATAAGGTGACAGGGTGACAACAGGGATGAGGTGACACAGGAGGTGAGGCGAGGTGACACCGGGTGACAGCGGGGGTTGATGTGATGCACAGAGTGACACCGGGGTGCAGTGAGGTGACACGGGGTGACACCAGGGTGAGACATGATGTGGCACAGGGTGACACGGGGTGAGGTGACAGAGGTGACAATGGAGATGAGGTGAGGTGACAGTGGGTGACAGCGGGGGGTGACACAGCGTGACAGCGGGGTGAAGTGAGAGAGAGGTGACAACAGGTGACACCAGGGCTGAGGTGAGGTGACACAGGGTGAGGTGAGGTGACAGAAGTGACAGTGGGGGTGGGGTGAGGTGACAGCAGGTGACAGAGGTGACAGAGGAGTGAGGTGAAGAGGTGGCACACGGAGGTGACACAAAGTGACAAAGGGGACACACAGAGGGGACACAGAGGTGAGAAAGGTGACACACAGAGGTGACACAGAGGTGACACGGAGGGGACACAGAGGTGACACGGAGGTGGCACATAGAGGTGACACACAGGTGGCACAGAGGCGACACACAGCAGTGGCACACAGAGGTGACACGGGGGTGACACATAGGTGACATGGAGGTGACACAGAGGTGACATGCAGCGGTGACACACGGAGGCGACACAGCGGTGACCCCCGGCGGCGCCGCCCCCCGCCCCACCTGCAGCCGCAGCCGCAGCTCCCCGCTCTCCTCCCGCACCGCGCGCAGCTCCGCCTCCAGGCGACCCGACAGCGCCAGCAGCTGCTGAACCTGCGGGGGGGGG